ATAGGCATGCCCCCAAAATTTTTTACGTGACAACTTTTTACATATATAACTTTTTTGAAAAAGGGCATGCCTAGGGGCATGCCTGAAAGGCATGCCTCGTGCCCCATGCCCCCAACCCTAGTTTCAGGTCCAATTAGCCTTAATATCATATGTTCAAAATTATTTTGGGCTTATTTCCAATTAACCAATTAGCCAGTCCAATTAAACACGTCACTGCCTAGCTTAGCTTGATAACGTATGTGGTTTTATAAAGGTTGAGAGACATCGGCCTTTGCATCGGGTAGTGAAAATAATCTGAGTGACGCAAAGGGGAAACCAGACTTCGATCATCTAAAATCTATATGATTGAAATTTGGTTTTCTCCAGGCATCACCCATTTCCTGTAGTCTACATTGCGGGGTTTCTATCTGAACTATATAATATTTTCCGAAGCGTAAAAACACATTTGCTCTGCTATTTACTCAACGGTTGAATGATCCCTAAATAAAGTTAAAGTTTACCTTAACAAGTGAACAGACGAGGCACGCACGAAGTTGACGTGTGTTGTGAGGAACAGAAGCCATTGCGATTGTAAAATAAAATGTCATACGTACGTACGTACGTACCTCTTATTATGCTGATATTGGAATGGACTATTGAAACTTCCGTCATTTTATTGTGCGTCAGATGATTGTGATTTTTCGATTGATCCATTATTTAAGCGATCTGTTCATTGCTGACGCGGGTAATCCTAAAGAACAAATACAGAAAGAGTTATGATGCAAATGATAACTGGGGCCCGTCCATGTCAGGGTCACGGAAAATTTTGGACATTTTATACATTTTATCCAATTTGAATAAACTTTTTTTACTTTGTAAATCTCAACAGAATATAACGATGAGGATCGGGTATTATGGCACACTTAAGGAAATAAAATAATATTCAATGCTCTATCTAATAATCAAAGAAAAAAGGTTATATTTAAAAAAAAAACTTGATACGTATTTGAAACTTCCAAAATCTATCAAAAAGTGTTATGTTTTTTTAGTTGGGAAGGTACGTACGTATTATGGCGCCCTACGTATGCATATCGATATTCATATTGTGTTAAGATATTCTTTTTATATTTTGCTGATTTCTTCCTTACACCATCAGTAAAACGAATCGAATGGTACTAAATTTATTCGATTCTGATCAGTGTATTGCAAGATATCATCAAAAAACATAGGTGCGCCACAATACCCACCCACGCCAGAATACCCGATCCTCCCTTACAAAATAAAAAAAATTGGATAACTAGGGAGTTGGCAAACTTAATTTTTAATTTCAAAATCAACATAGCCTCGGAGGGTAATTTTTCGACTCTGGACGAACCCTGGTTACAGCAGACGATAAAATTTTTTCATCGGAGTTAATGCCCCATGTGCTGCGTTACGCAGCACATGCGATTGTCGAAGTGAAGCGGAGACTATCAGTGTACAGGTAACTGAATGCATTGTCGTTCGATCATTTGAAATTCTAGTACTTTCACGTCATTTTACAAAAAATAATGCACCGTGCCTATTTTTACTCGGGTTAAATTATATAAAAGTTTAATACTCAAATTTAAAAAATTTATTTATTGAAATTTGTATTAATTGAAGTATGTGAGTGACGGACAGCGAAAATCTATAAACCAATTCACTTTATCGGGTTCGACCTCTCAAAAATCTGATTACGCGGTAATTATCTAATCGTTATCGTTATAACTTTAACGACAAATTGAGAGCTGTTCATGTGAAATCCTGTTTCTTCAAAGGCCAGGTCTGATAAAGGGTATAACAAATAAAAAATAA